CGCGGGGGACACGATCAGAGATAGCGCCGTCGGCACCGGCTGCCCACACAGTGGGGCGGCGCCCGGAATGGTGCCTGCCTGTGGACGTATCCCACGTGTGTACCACGATGGCCGCCACTGCTCTTCCTCCTGAGGAGGGCACACACCCGGGATGCGCCTTCAACTGCCACCGACCCCTCCTCTTCCTGGCACACATGCAAAGGGATAGGCACGTAGGGAAGGTTTCAGTGGCAAACTAGGACGGGACAGCCGCTTGCGAGCCCACGTCCCGGTCGGAACGGCACACCCTCCACACGGCAGAGCTCTGTACCCAGCCCCACAACACCCCAAGTCTGAGTCACTGCCTTCCCCCTGTGCCCAGCCCCACCCCACCCGAGTCTGTGCCCCCTTCCACCTATGCCCAGCCCCGCCCGACCCCCTGAGTCTGTGCCCAGCCCTGCCCGACACTCCGAGTCTGTGCCCCCTTCCACCTGTGCCCAGCCCGGCCCGACACCCCGAGTCTGTGCTCGCGCTGCCCATGGGCCCCTCTGCTCTTCCGGCAGCTCTGCGTCTGGCTTTGCCTTTTGAAGCTGCATCTGAAGGCGTCGCCCTGCGGTCGGTCCCCGCACGCGGTGTGCTCCTGGGCCTCAGAGAGAAGCCCCAGGCCCACGCTCACACCCGTCGGGGGTGCCCGGACGCCCCACCAGCATTCTATCGCCTCACTGAGGCAGCAACTGGAAAATGACTTTATCTCCTGTGCTGCGTGAGCAGAACGTGCACCTATAACTGAGTGCTCAGACCGAACCTTCACCCTCTCCGCAGCGTTCACGACACTAAGCAGCTGAGAGCGCTGGCCGGTCGTGCAGGTCAGTGGATGCTCTAGAAAGAGCCCATCGGTGCAGGACGGGCCACCCTGCAGGGAGGGGGCGGCGGACCCGCCATGTGCAGCACCTCGTGCCACGGCCAAGGGCTAGAGGGGCTCAGAGTCCACGGACAGGGAGTGGCGGACACGCGATGAGCACCCATCCCCACAGAGGCTTTGACAGAGGGAACAGGAGGGCTCTGTGCACCCACTGCCAAGGTCTCAGGGCCACGTTCATGCTCTGCACGCACCACACACACACGTTCACATGCATGTACACACGTGTGTACACATGTACGTGCACACAGGGAAAGGGGTGGGAAAGGTAGCCAGTTCTTTCTACATGTATCTCATTTTATAGCTTGATTTTGGACTCATGTAAATGCTTTCAACTTGAAAACTACGTTAATGTTTAAAGGACCTGCATGTGTGAGAAACAAAAGAAACAAACAGGTCACACACGTTGTGGTGGTGACATGACTGCCCGAGGAGTCCCTCCAGAGAGCGTGAGCACAGGCCTGCAGGATCTCGTCGGGGCTGCACCACATGTTGAGTGCACACGCACAAGCACACACACACACACCACCCCCCTGAGGCGCCGGCAGCACCAGCCATGGGGACAGCACTGGGCCACGGGGGCAGCACGGGGCCACGGGCCCCCTCTGCTCTTCCGGCAGCTCTGCGTCTGGCTTTGCCTTTTGAAGCTGCATCTGAAGGCGTCGCCCTGCGGGTCGGTCCCCGCACGCGGTGTGCTCCTGGGCCTCAGAGAGAAGCCCCAGGCCCACGCTCACACCCGTCGGGGGTGCCCGGACGCCCCACCAGCATTCTATCGCCTCACTGAGGCAGCAACTGGAAAATGACTTTATCTCCTGTGCTGCGTGAGCAGAACGTGCACCTATAACTGAGTGCTCAGACCGAACCTTCACCCTCTCCGCAGCGTTCACGACACTAAGCAGCTGAGAGCGCTGGCCGGTCGTGCAGGTCAGTGGATGCTCTAGAAAGAGCCCATCGGTGCAGGACGGGCCACCCTGCAGGGAGGGGGCGGCGGACCCGCCATGTGCAGCACCTCGTGCCACGGCCAAGGGCTAGAGGGGCTCAGAGTCCACGGACAGGGAGTGGCGGACACGCGATGAGCACCCATCCCCACAGAGGCTTTGACAGAGGGAACAGGAGGGCTCTGTGCACCCACTGCCAAGGTCTCAGGGCCACGTTCATGCTCTGCACGCACCACACACACACGTTCACATGCATGTACACACGTGTGTACACATGTACGTGCACACAGGGAAAGGGGTGGGAAAGGTAGCCAGTTCTTCCTACATGTATCTCATTTTATAGCTTGATTTTGGACTCATGTAAATGCTTTCAACTTGAAAACTACGTTAATGTTTAAAGGACCTGCATGTGTGAGAAACAAAAGAAACAAACAGGTCACACACGTTGAGGTGGTGACATGACTGCCCGAGGAGTCCCTCCAGAGAGCGTGAGCACAGGCCTGCAGGATCTCGTCGGGGCTGCACCACATGTTGAGTGCACACGCACAAGCACACACACACACACACCACCAGCCACTGTGGCCGGCAGCACCAGCCATGGGGACAGCACTGGGCCACGGGGGCAGCACGGGGCCACGGGGCAGCACGTCACAGGCTGGCCGTCCTCAAACTGAGCAGACAGGTAGGTACATGGAGGAGGATGAAGCCAGTTTCTCACGGCAGAAACGGGATCACAAACCCAGCGGAAGGGCTGCTGACAAACCCGCGACACCCGTGACGCCCGCAATACCACACAGCCCTGGGCACTGGTGCGATCCCCCCTCCAGCCCCACAGGCGGCGGCTGCGTCTGACGGGCACCCGTGCCCACACCCAGCACCCAGGTTTGGTTTCTCAATACCCTTCTCCACCCAGGAGCTGGTACGGGGCCGCTCAGGGAGGGAGCAGGCACACAGCCAGCACCAGAGGGATGGAGGGTGCGGGCATGTCCCACCACTGCACCCGATGGGATGCTGGGCATGGGCACAGCCAGCCCTGGGGCCTGCGCAGGCAGCTGCAGAGACGGAGGGGGAGGACAGCGGGCACGGGGCAGCGGCTCACGCCAGCACCAAGGGCTGCACGTGGTGAGTGGCCAGGAGACGCCCCCATGTGAGACACCCAGCCAGCAGCCGTGCCAGCACCTGGATGGGGAAGTCCCCCTCTGAGTGCCCTGCCCGCACCCCCTCCCTCCAGGAGGCCGGCAAGGGCAGAGGGGCCGGGCCCAGGAGGCCCGAGAGCCAGCAGAACCCATGGCACTGCCCGGTCCCCATGGAGGACACCGGCTCGCCCCCCACAGCTTCGTGCACCTCAGATCAGGCCTGTCCTCTGCCCACACCTTGGCATGTCTGGTGGGCATCACGCTGTCCTTCACAGGGGATCTGGGGTCCGTGCCCTTCTCAGGTCTCAGGTCCGCAGAGGCCTGTGGGAAAGCAACCGGCACCCGCGGGTCACGGACGGATCCTGGGGGGCAGGCACTGCTGTCCACCTGCAGGACGGTCCACTGCGTGCCCTAGCCTCACAGTGCTCACAGCGACCTCATGGCTACACTCACAGTGACGCTCACGGTGACCTCACGGCGACCTCACAGCGACCTCACAGTGACCCTCACAGTGACTCTCACAGCAACAGCGACCTCACAGTGACCTCAGAGACCTCACAGTGACCTCACAGCGACCTCACAGTGACCTCATAGTGACCTCATAGTGACCTCAGAGCGACTCAGTGACCTCGCAGCGACCTCACAGTGACCTCATAGTGACCTCAGAGTGACCTCATAGTGACCTCATAGTGACCTCGCAGCAACCTCACAGCGACCTCATAGTGACCTCATAGTGACCTCATAGTGACCTCAGAGCGACCTCATAGTGACCTCGCAGCGACCTCACAGCGACCTCATAGTGACCTCATAGTGACCTCAGAGCAACCTCATAGTGACCTCGCAGCGACCTCACAGTGACCTCATAGTGACCTCGCAGCGACCTCACAGTGACCTCACAGAGACCTCAGTGACCTCACAGCGACCTCACAGTGACCTCACAGAGACCTCACAGTGACCTCACAGCGACCTCAGTGACCTCACAGCGACCTCAGTGACCTCACAGGGACACTCAGCAGCTGCTATAACCGGCCTCGCTGCCCAGAGGCTGGGAGGCCGCGTGGCTGTGGAGAAGGGGCCGCTAACCCAGCTCTGCCTGGAGCCAGAGGCCTGACGACTCACCTCCACCCTTAACCTCTTGCCCACGGTGCGTGCAGAGCCCCCCGGGAAGTCTGCAAGCCCTGGGATCCCTCAGGCCATTTAAGGGGTGACCATCATCCCACAGAGCTGACCTCAAGGTCACTGTCCAAACAGGAGACACGTGCCTAAACCCTCCCCATCACGCACACGCACACATGCACACGCACACGCACACGCACATGCACACACACGTACACGCACATGCACACGTACGCATGCTCCTCACGTCTGTACAGGAAGCCTCGGGCCTGGCCTCTTCTGGGGAGCACACAGGGCGGTAACAAGGGCACAGCCCTCACTGCAGGGGCCGGGCTGGGAGGCAGCCCCCAGCTCTGACGTCTGGGGAAGCTCATGACTGGTTTGGTAGAGACTCAGACGGCCTTGCCTTTCCGGCCCCCGCCCCCCCGGCCCAGCCCCGGCATGCAGGGAACACGA